TGTCGCCGCAGTCAAATCGAAGCGGGGATCATAGCCCAAGGCAGTCACCTTGGATTCGAGGACGCCACGATCGCTCGCCCACACACAGGCAGTCTCTCCCGCCTTTCTTGTAGATTGTACAGAGGCGTGTGGATGCGGCAGCGGCGCAGAAAGATAGCACTAATTACGCTCACCTCACAAAAAAATGGCAAGACATCTACGTGCGGAGACTTGCAAAAGCACCATTGGAATAAGTGCCTTGAGCACTTCAATTCCCAAAACGAGGCTGAGTTAATCCAAGAGCACGGACAACGACGCATTCTTCGATGACATGCCGGTGACCATGGCCTGAGTCGAGCACAGCATAGCGCAGCAGGGTCCGGGCCTGGGACCAGGTCCTCTGGGGCTCCTGCCAGCACTTGAAGAGAGCCTCGAGAGAACACCACACCCACTTTTTCGGAAGAAGGCCATCAACTTTCAATGAAGACGCTATGCTTACGTTTCAGATTTCAGACAGCGCTCAAGCTTTCTCAATGCAATCCAGGGTCCATTCCAAGCGAGACTCTGAAGACCAGCCCCTCCTGCGACTTGTGAGGCATGTGTGCGTGCTGTCTGCAGTGCGACTTGTCTGGCTTTGCCAATGACATGCGGGATGCATTGCTACCTTCATGGAAGCTGGGGCGTAGCCAACCGCACCTGGAAAGGGGAGCTCGTGATCCAAAGGTAACCGGGCTTTCCACCTCAGTTTCAAGTATCAATCTCCGAATATCTGCAGGCTCTATGCCGCTCATGCCACAGAGGTGCTTTGCATGTTGCATGCTGTCACTGTATTCGTGCACAGCTCCCCCGACTCAGAGCGTTTCTGACTCGTACCTTGTCATCTCCGGTGGGAAGGCCGTCACTATCACCACACGCGGCACCAGCAAATGGTGCTCGTTTGCAGCGGCAGCAAGCACAGGAAGGAACATCATGGCGAGAGCTGGCTTCGACATGCTGCCAGCAGACATTTACTCACAGGCCTTCATGCGTAGATTCGTAGATGCTTCTTGCATGCTTGATTTGTGCACGGTAGGCACATCTGCACGTGTGTGCATGTATGCGTATGTAAGTAATGTATGTATGTGTGTACGTATCTGCGTGCGCGTATGCGCATGTCTGTTCGTCTGTCTGCCTGTGTCTCTAGTTGTCTGTCTTCCGTCTCTGCCTGCCTGCGCTGCCGCTCGCCTGTCTGCAAGCGTATATTTAAACGATTCTAAACGAATACGTACTGTTCGTCTTTATATTCATCCAGATCTTCGTTTGTCTGTATACCTGGCGTACTCGAATTCTAGCAGAACTCAGGAAAATAAGCTTCCGACTGCTGGTATGTAATTTGGAACCACAAGCCTAACGCTTTGAGACACCTGCCCCGCATGCTCAATGGATTCTTGGATCGACGATGCTTCGAATCTTGTCACACAGCTGTCAAGTTGCGGTACATGGAGTCAGGGCTCCAGACTCTAGACAGTTTATCTCGTCCAGCAGCCAGCACAAGGATCCGTCAGAAGCAGACACGCCGATCGGACTTTTATGCACAGCTCGATCGGACCATCCTTCAATGGTATGAAGCTTTGTCATTGTCGGCCCTGCGTGACTCAACCCGTCTTGGGCGCGGCCACGTTCGATGTTGATTCCATGTTCGCACGCACACTGAGGCAATAGCGGGGTCGGCAAACGGAAAGGATTTTGGTAGTTAACCAAGAACTTGTCAGAGACACGCGTGCGAACAATGTCTGGCGAACTTTCTGAATCAGCTGTTGCACTGTTTCACGCATATGCTTTGCGATCCGGTTCGCGAACTGATAACTCTTTGTACAGCCATGCAGTTGGGCAAAGTCAGATTCCGATGGCATTCATGGCCGGTAGCAAAGCTTGTTTGGCATGCACGTGGGAACCACGGAAGGACATCAAGGCTTGCTTCTGAACCGCCGCAAAGAATCCCTGTCAGCGTGCTTGACGTCAGGGAAACTACGCTGTGGCAAGCAGCTCCATCATAAGAGCGACACGATTGAGAGCTTCTAGGGGCAGTTGACTGGACACTCTTGGCTTACCTATGACCTATGTACTGTAAATACTGTACTGTATGTATACTCATCCTGCACTCGTTCACAGTACCAACCCGAGAATACTCTTGGATGTTTCTGCGAGGGCAGACACCGGAAAATCCGGAGGGAGCAAGACAACAAAAAGACAGGTACAGGCAATGCCTACGGTGCAACTTCAGAATTACAGCACGTGCACGTTTGTAGCAAGATTCCACGGCAATTAGCAGGACTTCGTTTTCCAGAACTACCATGCAATGAACCCTTATTCCTGAATGTTACAAGTTACACTCCTCACGGTTTCGCTTTCCAGCCAGTCGTGGATTATTGGACATTGCTCACAGAAAATGCTCCCCGACATCTCTGCTATCCGCAATTCTTCGGCTTGATCTGCAACAAGTCTCTGTGCAAGCTACATCAGGTGGGGCAGGAGGTTGAGCTGGGCTCTTGATACTTGGTGCATAGATGCGGCAACGACAGCAGCCGGGACGTCTGACTTGCCGCGAACGCAAAGAAGGCTAGGGCCTGTTTAAATGGCCTTGCGCGACGCCAAGGCGCCAAAAGTTCACTTCCATCTCAAAGCGTCTTGCCTCAAGCTGCTGCGCAACGAAGCAGGCTTCTGCGGACTGCTGGCACCGACGGCAGCCACGTTAGACAGCGAGATCTATCAGCCTAGCGGTAGTAGGCCTGCCGTCATCGAAGCCTGTGCAGACAAGCATCTTCTCTCTGAGCCGACTCCAGCTGCTCTTGAAAAGCCATGCGCTGGCACCTTGCCAAAAGCTCTTTGACCGTGTGGCACATTTGCTTTCACCGGGTACTTGCTTACTTTCACCTCTCATGGCCTGGGGTTGGGGCTGCGAGGGGAAGGGGGGGCCTGGCAACCGCAAAGAGGCATCACAGAATTGAAAGCCATGTTTCCGGGCTTTGGGGGGTTCACGTGCACACTGAAGTTACCCGGAATTGTCGCGATGCGAACAGAAAGGCGTGAGGCCATTGCCGTCGAAGCACTGCAGCTGCTGACATCGTGCCTGAAGAGTCTGACATCGCCTCGATCAGATAAGCAGCGACCAGCAGCCCCATCTGATCTGCCGGTCATTTTACACTACTTGCTCTGCTGGGCTCCCCGCTGTGCCAGCTGCGAGTTCTCAAGCTGTAGATGTCGTGAGCGCAGTTGGAGGGCCTGGGCAGAAGACTGCGCCGAAAGCCATTGCACATGAAGATGTCGACCACTCTCGCCAATTCAATGATGCTGTTGCTCACTTTGCTAACTGTCTGCCAAGTACGGCATGGCAGGGCTTAAGAAAGAGCTATCGCTTTATCTAACCAAGGAACAAAGCACCGAGCCGCCCTCATCTGCAAAAATGCGACTCGCAATCGGCATCGTGGCATAGTGCCCCGCGATCCCTCCGAGGCTCTCTGAGGCGTTTGCCATCCAGTCCCGGGATGGCACGGAAGAGCCTCGCAACAGTTTTCGAGGTGCCAGAGTACCAATCTCCAATTTTGCCTATGGCTGTCTCGCTCAGCGCCAACCCGATCAGTTCTCAACCAGGTTGCCGAGGGCACTAAGTAGCTTTCAGTTGTCGAACTTAGAAACCCACCCCAGCCCCCCAGCCCCCCGCCCCAAGAAGCCAACGACCTGGCCGGCACACCCACATTGCTCACATTTTGAGCAGCCTAAAAGTTCCCACAACTGACACATTGCAGATGCACAAGGATGCCGCAAGACTTTGAAATGCAATGGCACGACGTCATCTCTGGCATTCCACGACATATATTACGGCCACCAAATCCATCACCAAAAGTGTCCACGACAGTGGTGGCAACGTCCATGCTCCCAGCATCTCTCTTGCTGCTGTATTGTTTTTATGCACTGCAATTCCAGGCTTCGTTTAGCGTTTCCATCCACTCAACCGATCTCTGAATGCTGTCATCGCGGGTATTCTGCAAGCCTTCGCAACTCTTGAAACTATTCCAGGGAGTAGGGCCTGAGTAGGGGCGTTTGAAGGGGTCTCGGTCTCGCATAATTCCTTGAAGCCGGAAGCTGTTCATCTGCGCCTACCGCACATCTCGCCGGACCTCATGCCTACTACGAACCTTGTCTTAGCGAAAGCCTCGGACCGCCGCAGCTTCACCTTTTATTGGCTCCCCACAACGGCGAGCGAACCCACATTGCTGGTGTGTTCGGTAAAGGACTTGTACGACTGCCCTCGGCTTTTTAGTGACAAAAACACCCCTCTGCTGGGAGTTCGGTGGCACGTGTCCGGTGTCGTTTCGGCTTCGGGCTGCACCGGAGGTCCCTTGACGTCAAGGCCGTTGGGCCGGCCGTCGCTGACGCTGCATAGCCATCCATTGCTCTTCGCCATGCTGCACAAAAAAACAGCGCAACACTCGTGCCCTGAATCTCCGCTTGGGTGAACAGAAGCAAGGAGTGTGTGGGATCTGTGCTCCCGCCGGCGCAGCACCCGTCATGGATTGAAGTTGAAACGTGGGGGACCACCTGGGTTCGCCAGCCTGGTGTCACCACTCCCTGTCGTGAGCTGTCCCATACCCTGCCTCCACGCCACACGTGCTCGGGTGAGGTTCGGGTTTGACCGGTTAGGCAGAGATTCAAACCTTTTCGTCTGCATTGACTAAGGCACGAGGGGAGCATTGCATATATGCATTACATGCACTGGCAGAGAAAGGCTTTTTCGATGACAGTGCATAACAGCCGCCGGTGTCAATGCCAACAAGCTGTGACGCACATTTAGCGCGGCCTGTTACCGCTTAAGAGTTTCCGACGTCGAGCTTCAGAGCTCTTCTGCAGACACATGTGACAGTGGCCGTCCTGCAAAAATATGGATTCTTGAGGGGAATCGCAAGATGGTGCCTGGGCCTTCGGGATGTGAGGCCACTCAAGACATGCAGCGGGGTCGCGGTGCAAAGCGCAGTCCTCGTCCTTCATCGGCCTTTCTTTGAACCTTTGCCGCCTCCCCGGCCCTTTGCAGAAGCTACGGGAGCGGCATTCCTTGGCTGAGGCAGAACATAGAACCACGGCATGAACAATTCCTGACGAAGATAGCGATAGCCCGGCTTGCACCGATACATTTCAGTTTATTTAGCCTGGAACGCTTGGCTGCCGGTGTGAGATCCGCGTACACACGAAGGGGTCGAGTATGGCCCTCGATGTCCCGCTGTCCCGTGGCCGAGGCTCGTGTTGCTCTGCTGCAGCTGCTTGACTTCTGCCAGCTGCCGCTGCATGGCTTGCAGCTGCTCCTCCAGCGCCTGTACGACTGACTTGGGATGGACACTTCTCAACAAACATGTTACTGCATGCAGTTCCAACATACTCATTGATAGCTTGGAACTTTGCTTCTGCCGTCGCACTCTCGCCAATACGTCCTCCACCCACCAGACATACCTGTCCCTTGGTCGTCTTCTTGATCAGGGTCAAATGAAACTTTCGTGTTTTAGTTGTCCGCACTGCGGCTTCACACACAGCTGTGTCAGGACTCTTCTCCCAAAAGAGCGGCAGCACATACCTGTTGGCACACCTAAAGATCTGGTGGAATTCGGCAGCAGCAAAGTTGAAACAGAAAATGGAACCGGTCACCGGTCATCCACCACTCGACCAGCACAACAACTGACAGTTAAAACAGCCGCGCTGGGTGGCTCTCTACAACCAGCGCTGTGTCTCACCGTGCGTGAAAGGAACCCTTGAAGCCAAAGATCCGTGAGAGGCTCAGCAACGACAAAACACCAAAGAGCAGGATTCATGTCGGGCCTGCACTTTTTGATCGCTGTCACCATTCGTACTCGTACACGTCGTACCGTTGTGTGGAGCTTCCTCGGGACATGGCAACTTGACCGTCCCTGGGGATGAACATGGTATGCGACGATAGATGCTAGCAGTGCTAGCAGATGTTTGCAGGTGCCGCCCAGATGCTTCGGCCTGCGTCTCGTGGTATCTTCTCATAAGCAGCGCATGGGCGCGATATACTTTCAGCAAAGGTCCCCTGATGGTGAGGGTCTGACCATCGCTACCATCTTGCGCCGGGTCAAAGTGGATGTAGGTTCCTGTCATCTTGCCTTGAGCCATTTCGACTCACACTGTCGCACAATGCATAGTTCCAATATGTTCCAATAATTATTCGAGACTCGACGCTCTTCCCCCCAGTTCAAGCTTGGCCCTGGACGGATACGCTGTACATCCTCTCCGCGCTTGCCTATGAGGAGGCCAACCTGACAAGCTGTGCTGCTCAGGAGCACAAAGACCGGCAAAACATCTTGAACAGCACTCGTCACTAGCCTTCTCACTCGGCAGCTCGCAGGTGATGGTGTACTCCATGTCCAACGTGCCTGGAACTCCAGCACAACACCAGCTGTTGTGGAAAGCTCATGTCTTACTCCTACTGTGCCCTTTGGACCTGCTGGAAACCCTTGCGCAGTGGAGCTCAGGGCGGAGAGGAGATCAGATTCGGGATCATCATCTCCAGACCTGAGCAGATGACAAACCATCGTCGCGCAAAATCTCTCTTGTTTTCAGGCCAGCCATTTCGAAGCTACGAGGCTCACCAAGTGATGATCATATGTAGTGACTACCTGTGCGACTGCAGCCAAGCCACACCAACACAGGTGGCTGCGGTGGCTTAACGACCCCCTTGGAACCGCTCCACTGTGCAGGTGTAACGGGTGCACCTTTCCCAACAAGCATTTCTGAAGCACCAGGACAAACAAAGATGTCGGCAGTAGTGTCCGTTGCTGCAAAGGCAATGTTGATGGAGTTGACAAAACCCCTAACCCCTTGAAACTTGGTGAACGCAGCCCATGGTCTGGACGTCAGCGCCCACCCGCACACACCAAGGTTTTTACGATTAATGTGGGCTCTCAATACAGGGCTTCATATTTTCTGTCAACGAACGAGTGGATGGAGAAACGAAAGCCTTTTAAGCCGTTCCTCGGGTGGACGCTTGGTTGGCTGTGGGTGATTGTTGTCCAAAGTTGAGATTCTCAAGTCTTGAGCACAGGCGGGCTCCGAAGAGGGTCTTTGGTCAAATTCAACACACAGCGGAAACCTACATGGTTGTGGAAGGAAGGGCTATGTCCCACACGGCTTCGACCGCCTTCCCTCCTCCAGGTACGGCAGAACGCACAGGGAATAATACATCATCATGGGAAAACTCACGGTGACCCCTGACGACTAAAACCCCTGAATCCCCTGAAACACCTTATTGGAGGGTGCACCCAAAACATTGTAGGGTTTGAAAATCCCGGGAGGGGGAGCAGGGTAGCCATGTTTTAGTTCGGAGTACCACTGAATGCATGACAAGGGGGAGGGGGGGCGTCACCACTATTGCTATTCTTTTCTGTGCCAGGGTGGGGGTGGCTAGCCGTTACTGTTGTGTCAGCAGCATTTTTCGAGCACCCACTAAGGTGGGGGGGCATCATGATTTTATCCTTCACCGACAAAGCATTCTTCCTAGGTTCCAGAATGCCTTTCGCTACCCTCCATGCACGTAGAGTCTCACACAATTGGGCATAACTTGCTTCATTGCGGGCTCTTTCTTTCACCCGTGAGATCGCTTGAGCTTCGAAATGCGGATTTGGCATCAACTGCCTGCTCTGCCGGCCAGTGCACGTGCTCTGCCTGTTATGGCTGCTGTTGACGGTAGCATGACTGGCCAGGGTTCTAGCACTCACACGCGCTGAGCGTTTACGCTCTCACAACTCGGACAAGCCAGGCGAGGTTCATAAGTGCAGAGTCGGTGTGAAATGGGACTGATTGGATTCTCACTTGTGCCAGGTCACCACAAGGATATACAGCAAGATATTCTAGAGTCGAAGGTTGTTCCACGAGAGAATCTTCCTACTCAGATGGCAGAGTCCATGCACAACACAAGGTTACAGGATACATTGAAAACGACAACTAAGCCATGATTAGCTTATTCAGAAGGTGGACACTGCGTGCTACTTTGAGCTTGCTACATGCCAAGCAAAATCCACTCAGGGCCTTGCTATTCTATGCTGGATAACCCGGGGGCCTGCGCAGATTCCCACAAGGCAAACTGTCTAAAGGCTTCGTGAAACATGCGGTCTTAGGCTCAGGCAAAGGCGGCGCTCAGTTTCGGTGTCACTGCAGTCAGGAGTGAAGGCGTTGCGGACGCAAGGCTCTCACTACAGACCACGTTCACGACTGTCCATGCTTAGCCAGAAAGTCTTTCGCTCCCTCACAGGCTGCGTAGCAGAGGTAGCTGTCGAGTCATCAGAGCTTGTTGAGCCGTGCTCGGTCAGTGGTTAGCGGCATGTACGGGGCAGGAAGTTTCTGCTCCTCAGGGCACCACATACCAGACAGGCGTGCGGGTGTGGCAGAAAGCTATAAATACGATCTTCCAGGGATCAGCTGCACATGCTGTGTGTCACTAAGTGCTTTGGCAGGAGGCCACCACAATACTGGTATCCATGGTAACTGCTGGCGCTCTTGCTGCAGATAGAGTACACCAGTGTGGCTGAAGCCCTCGTAAAGCTTTTCAGTCCCAGGATGAGGTCACTCAAAACTCAACTCTTCCCCTCACGGTGGTCAGGTGCCAGACGCACGCGATACACGCAGTTTCCACTTTGGCTCTATCGGTGACGCAGGGAGGTGTCTTGCTATACGTTGCTATTTCCAGCATATCACCGTGTCGACAGCGCGCGACCCCGCCTCTGCAGGTACAATGACAGTCCGACATAGTGCCATGGCTTCAGCTCTGGCGAGGGTTAATGGTTTGGTTTCCGGGGGGGGGCTGTCAGGGGAAACTAACGCTGATACCAGAACTACAGAGCTCTCCCTTCCTACGACGACGAAGACAAGACAGGGCCTTCGGAAGGTACCTTGCAGCAACATCACCAGGCGTCATCATGCATCATGCACCAAATTCATCATGCATCAAATTCACAGTCCAGCACATGCAAAGGAGCAAGGAGAAAACAGTTCAGGGGCTTCTGCTGTGCTGTCCATGCGGTTGTGCCAGCGTATTGCACACTGGCGTCCGAATCACCTCAGTTGGAGGACTCAGGTGGTGAGTCCTCGACTAGGATCAAGGAGTCGTGGTGTGCCTGTCTCTCCTTGCTCAACGCCAGGGACTCCAAAAGGCTCATTTGAGTAGGGTCAGGTCTCTCTCCACAACCGAAGTTCCCCGGAAGGTATCCGAAAGTAGCCTGGTGTATCATGCTGTTACTAGGCAAGTGGAACCCCAAACTAAGGAGCTGAGTGCGGGCTTCCGGCGGGATGTGTTTTGCATTAAGGGTCGTGAAGGCTACGAGGGTGATGCGGTCCATGGGATCACTACCTTTGGGGAGGTGTCCTGCATGCAGTAGCTTTCGGGCATTAAAGAAGAACGGCTTGTTGACATCAATCACGCTACCAGGGATATCAGACCCGTTATGGTTTTTGGGGTGTGTTCCAAGGGGGTCCTGGATCCAGAGCCCTTCGCCAGTTTGGCCTGCATGCAGATTGACAATCATCGAGTAGAAGGGGCCATTACGGAGGTCCCTATGGGGCTTGCCTACAAGACCTTCCCTCAGGACGAAGTTCGTGTACGGTAGCATGGGGCAAAGGTGGCGGATGTACCTATTGATGGCCATGACTGTATAGGGTGTTTCAGTACATGTCGTAAGGAGACAGTCATTGTTTCTAGGGTTACATCCTGCTACCGCGTAGGTTCCATACGTCCCTCTATCTATACACCACCTGGACGACGACGGAACGAGCGCGGCATCATCTTGAAAAGTTCCAGCACCTCAGCACGTTCAGGAGCAGCCACTTGCCCTAGGATCCGGTAGGCTCGGATCTCCATGGCTCTAAGGAGCCAGTCCTCAGAGATTCCAAAATCAGGGAGCCTCGGATTACGGGCTCAGCGCGGACTGCCACCTCCTGGCGAGGGCGCTTGGCTTTGGGAGTGCTACCGCTTTCGTTCAGGCTTGTGGCTTCCAGGTAGGAGGTTCCCATGGTGCTGGTGTAGTGCACCTCTACATCATCATCACACAGGTCCAGCACTCCTTCCGCTTTCCTAAGGCAAGCAAAAATGGTGCAGCAGTGCTGAAGGTTTTGCAGTGCAGATCCTGTAAGCCGCGTGCATGTCACGTGACGCATGTTGCAGCAGAAGAAAACGGGCAAGTATACTGTTGGTTACCACCGTGGCACACGTCATTGCAGCGCACACCTCACAGACCGACACTGCTCGAGCACAGGAGCTGTTTCTTTCCGCGCTTTCAGTCCGGCAGTCGTGGAAACCGTATGAGAAGGCCTATGCTCTTCAAGTGCAGTTTCCTATGAATTCAGTCGACTCGTGGAGCTGGAGGCCTCAGTAACTCATGTAGAACATACATCATCAGGGGCCTGAGGTCTTCAACATGGCATGCATAAGGCATGCAGCAGTCGCAAATTCGGCAAGGGAACAAGAGAAAACAGTGCAGCACAGTTCGCAAGACATGCAAATAAATTAAAGCACATGTACACGCATGGCATGCATTCGGTTACAGAAAAGAGTGTCTGCAGGCAGGTGCAGAGGCTCAACGGCTACCGAAAACATGCAGCCACAGCGCTCAGTCACATCGCTCAGCTCAGAGGGATATTGACGCTCCTGCCATTGCCCATTTCGATCCTGACCTGAGGGTGTGCTGCTCTCGCCACCGGCAGGGCCGTGTTCAGGTTGAGCTGACGCGGTCCTTGCTGCAGGTTGGGCTCATAGGCGGGCGGTGGCATTGGTGGCCGTTCCTGGTGACCTGCCATAGCCACAGGGACCGGCCTTTCGCAGTAGTCCCGAATGACCCTGACTTGTTCAGCAACGTCCGCCATAACAGTTGCCAACTGGTAGATGGCATCCTTCTGGACCGCCGCCTCTCCTTGCAGGAAGTTAAGCGCTGCCAAGAGTTCCTGGCCAAGGTTGGAGACATCCTTCACCGTGGCGGTCATGCTCGTATGGCTATCATAGTCCGTCGCCGTGATTTTGCGAAGGACTTCTTTAAGGCCTGACTCCAAGTTGCCTGCCTTGGCTGTCACATGTGCTGTGACATCGCTGTTGCACTGCTTCGCAGAGCTGGCTGCAGCAGCAACTCCCTTGAGGACATCTTTCAGCTGGGAGTCGTGGCTCTTGCCGAAGGTATCCACATTGGTAGACATAGTCCCCATCTTCGCCGTCACAGCTCCGACGATGCTCTCCAGGCCACCAACACGTTTGGTCAGCTCCTTGATCTCGTCAGGGAGCTCCTTGGTTTTGTCCATCCTGCTGATGGACTTCTCCACCGCAGTCTCCAGGGAGTGTGCCGCCTTTCGGCTGCTCTCCAGCTCGGCCTGCACCTTGGTCAAGTTGGGAGCAACACTCGTGATCCCGTTGAGGAGCCTGGACATGTTGGCAGCAAAGTTCTTGACGGTGGTGTGGCATGCAGTGAGCTCCTGCATCATGGTTTCCGGGCTCACTGCTTTCTTGGCAGGGTCCTGAGCGGTGTCCGCTGCGTCCTTGGAGTCCTTGGCCAGGGGCGCAGTGGTGCCGTCCTTGTCAGACGTCGCGGCGTCTTTTGGCTTCTCCGTCTCCTTCTGCGGGGTGTCAGCCGCATCAGCCGATTTGGCCCCCGCTTGCAAGGGGTCATCACCTCCAGCTCCAGCTTTGGTGCCAGCAAGGGCATCAGGCGTTGGAGCATCTTTGGCTGCACCACCCTCCTGGGGAGGATGCGAGGGGCTGGAGTCCTTGCTAGAGTCCTCCGTCGAGCCAGGTGCAAGCGTAGCCGTCTGCACATTTGAAGGCTGCGCAGTGGGGCCACTGAGCCACGCCTGGATGTCCCTCACCACGAGGACAACCAGCAGGGTAAGCACCACTGTGAGCAATTGGACTGCCCACTGTACTTCCATGGCGAGACAAACAGGCGCAGAGAGCACTGAGGGCTGAACTTCGAGGCCGATCTTTGTCGCGTGGCTGCAGTGTTGCATTTTCGGACCCGTCCTGCCCCCCCTCCCCTTCTCTCATGTCAGTGCACATGGACGCTTCAAGGCAAGACACGAAAAAGACACCTCCTAGGACTCACAGCGATAGGCCCTACTTACTGCAGAAATGCTCATGGATCGATGGACGAACGGCAAGTGGTCAGCAACAACTGGTCTAGCAGCCTCAGGTGAGGTCCACAACAGTGGGGAGACCACTAATCAGCGGGAAGTTGTGAGGGAGGTCACGGTGGTACGAGGCCTTGCTGAAATCCGCAAACCTGGCAAGAAAATTCATGTCCCCTGGGAATGGTCCAAAGGGTCCTGCGAGATGTTTGCACATCCACTCCGGGGTTTTCTTTGGATGTAAGTAGCAAAACGACAAGAGGTCCTGTCCTACTTCAAAAGAGTCTAGACTATGTGCTCTCCAAAGGTGTTGCATAGGGACCTGATGGCACCATATATGCGCCGCGAAGGCCTGTGGGGGAAGGAAAACCGCCGCCTTCTGTTCCCAGAGTGCTGGCACCCATTGCCATACTCTCCTGAGGAGCTCCCAAGCCTGTAGTCTCCTATTCAGGAGAAGTTGGTTTTCCTGGTGGAACTGCAGCACTACCACCTTGGTTTTGGCATGTGTTGGGGGGATCAACCGAATCTCAGCTCCCTCATCAGGAAGCCGGACCCAGACCGTCCATTGTGCAGACTTGGGCACACCACGGATAACATGTTGGAGTTCTCTGCTGTAGGGTTCTTCAGGGAAGAGTCTTGCAGGCCTAAGGATGGCTAGGGACTTGCCGACGAGGAGCAGCTGTCGGTCACAGAGGTAGTTGGAAGGGAGCCGGGAAATTTCAGAGTAACCATAACCCCAACGATTGAGCCACGGTTTGAGCGCCGTGTCCCACAAGGACCTCTCCTGAGCGAGAAGATGTACATCATGCCACGGCGAAGGTCCTTTAAGATGATCCCAGGCTAGCTGCAAATTTCCGCGGGGTGAAGTACTTCAGGGGTGCAGCGGGTATCCTGCCGGAAACTATTCGCCATGTAGAGCAGCGAGCAACTATGCGTTGGATCGGCAAATCAGACTGACTCCGAAAGACATGACCCCAGAATTTCCAAAGTCGGGTCAGCCACAGTTCTCCCCAGCGGGCTGATTTGTATACTTCGCATGTGACTTTGACAGCCCTCCGTCTCGCCATGGTATTAGCAAGGAAGGGTTGTAGCGGATCCACCTGCAGCTTCAGAAGAGAAAGCAGCAACGTATGTTTAAAAGCTTCCAGACTGCGTAGCGCCTTGGCACTGGGGTAGACCGCAGGAGCACACCAGGACCATTTTGAGGTTATGTACGTCTGAAAGAGAGTCAACTTCTCACAGACAGGAGTATCTGGATGATCGAAGAGTTTGAGCAGCCCAAAGAAGGCAGAGGACATTTTACTCAAAGACACCCCGAGTCCTCCAAGCGCGTTGCCGCCATAGCTTAACGGTACGCCAAGATACAGCAGAGAATCAGGCCCTGTCACAGGGGAGACTGCCCTGCGCCCCCAGATTCCTGGCGTGGTCCCGTCTTCGTTGTCCAGGATACTACACTTACTAAGGTTCAGCTTTAGGCCTATGGACTCCAAAGTTAGTTGGAGTTCGCGGAGTTTGCGTTGAAGATCCTGCGTGTCCACACCAAACAGAAGAATATCATCTGCAAAGAGCAGGGCGTGTGGGAGTGCAAACTGAGCAAAAACATCCGGTTGATTCGTCTGCCATCTGCGCAAAAGGCCGCCGAGAAAGTAGTCAATGACTCGGGAGAACAAGTCAGCGCTATATGAGGTTCCCTGCAGCAGCCCGCGTTGCAGACTCTGGGACCATGCTTGGGAGCCTAGTTGGAGACGTACACTAGTATCACAACATAGACGCCAGAGTGCGAGACACTCCCGGCTCGGATCCGAATCATACAGGTACCTCCACACGGCCTGATGGGACAAGGTGTCAAAGGCTTGCTTTATGTCCAGCTTACATACTAGCAGCTGCTTGCCCGTCGCCTGTTTGTAGATCTTCATAGTGGATTGGGCCGCTACTACCGCCTCGATTGCTTGGGTTCCTGGACGGTTCGCGTGTTGACCAGCCTGGAAAGGAGGGAGGGTCTTTCGAAGGCGTCTCATTTTAATGATTTTACTGAACAACTTGCCTAGACACGGTGTGAGGCTGATGGGACGGAGGTCCTGAACCTTGGACGGTCGCTGTACTTTCGGGATCAGACAAAGTTTCCCAACAAGCCAGTCCTGTGGAATCTGCTGTTCTCCACTGAGGATTCGATTAAAGAAAGCAGCCAATTTACCACGGTTGTCCTGTTGGTGAAAGGCCCTGACCGCGCTATAGCACACCGAGTCCAGTCCCGTCGCTGTGGAAGCTTTGACCTTACTAAGTGCGTCACGGATCTCCTCGTCTGTGATAGGGTCCAGAGGGCCGCGTTCATGTTTGGAAATCAGGGCTTCCTGTTGAACCTCTGTAACTGGGCCTTCATCGGGGTGCCGACTGTACTTAGTTTCGTAGAAGGATTTCACTTTTCAATATGCTCGTTTGTAGGGTTGGATCCGCGGGGGCTGGATCAGTGGGCTTGGCAAAAACCAAAGTTATCAAAATCAGAAGTCAACCTGAACAAAGACTTATTGGATACGTTACGACACGGTAGGTTTGTCCAGAATTAATGTAACTGGAGATTTGCAGACACTGAAAATTGTTGAGAAAACCATGAAAAAATGTAGTATTATTTCTGTCCAAGCCGGTGTGTGAACAGAGCAACCGGAAGCTGTGCCATTCCAGTGACCCCTTGCACCGACATTGGCACGTCGGGCAAGGTCACACTAGATGGCTGGCCTTTGTGTCCCCAAGCAAGGAAACTTGATGGCTCTTCGGGTGAGAGCCCGGCAACACCAACAGGTTTTCGCAAGGCTGAGGACGTCTGTGCAAGAGCCGGCAGAAGCTGCAAAGGTGTGACTCCCAAATTGTCAACAAGAAATTGTTCCTCAAGTGTGTTCACTTGTGCCATGCCACTGACCCCTTGCACCGACATGGGCACATCGGGCAAGGTCACAGTGGATGGCATCTATTGTTTCCTCACACTGCTCAGAACAACCTGTCAACTTAAACAGGTTGCTGCAAGGTTGAGGAAATCTTGAGTCAGCATGGCATTGCTTGGCAAGGTTGACGATTCGAATTGAGGAAATCTTGAGGAATCCTCCTCAAGTGTGTTCACTGAAAGAGCCATATCAATTCTGTTCCTCCAAGTGTGTTCACTGAGACAGCCACATCGACATAAGGCTGCAAGCAAATCAGACTTGTGTCTCAATTGTTATGCAACCTTCTCATCAGTCATCGCACTGTTTTACCTGTGTTGCTGCATGGCCTGCTGTTGCTGTTGTGTCACAGCATTCACACCCCAAAAACCAGTCACAGCAGATTGGCTTGAATAATAAAAAGCATGCAGCTCAGTAAGCTATGAAACGTATTTTGGCTGACGAAGCGGATCGTCACAATAGATTCCGGACAATCTGCGCAACTGCTTCCCCGAACATCGAAGTGTATTCCCCACTAGCCTGTACATCTGCTGGCACACCGGTGAAACGGCCGTCTTCGCCTCGGTTTACCAGACCAATGAAAGCATTATGATCTGGTTTGGGCCTGGCCAGGTTCTCAAAATGAAACCCAGGCAAATGCCACAGTTGCAAGGGCTTCACTGACTTTCCGTTAAAGGCACCCATGTAGGTGCAAGTCTTTTCGAAGCCACAAAAGGATAGAACTGTTTTGACACACTCGAGGTGCGGCATACAGGAGCTGAGGGGCTGTTCCACCACAGGGCAGCACTCACATGCCCATCCCAGGAAAATCCCAAGTGAGCAAACAAGGGCCTGACAATTTCCCTGCAATACAAAGTCCCGCTCAGTCCATGCGCCTTCCCAGCCGTTGCTTTCAGCACGTTGGGAACGAAATGAGCACATAATGACAAAAGAAGAGCACGGAGTGCCCCACCAATGCAAAGCCTTCTTCTCACACGCTGTGGCTGCATCCAGAAACAAACGCAACCCTTTCGCTAGCAACATGTTGTGTTCGTCATTGTAGAGTATGTCAAAGCTGCACCCACGGAGACCGGATTCGATCAATTTCTTCGAAAGTTTGGCGCTCCCTGCATAGTATTCAATGTATTGCAGCAACCCCGCACATTGATGGGGTCCCACATCGATTGAAGCTGCTTCAATCTTGGCTCTGTTGTCATAGCTACGGCTAATGATGCACATCAGCTGACACTCGATGGTTCGGTTCTTCAATGCGGGATAAGCCAATCCAATCAGCCCATGCCATTTCATGGCCACTCTGCCCACATTGAAGTCCTGGTCGTAGCGCAAGAAATTTTGCACCAAAATCCTTGCAACCATGAGCCTGTGACACCAAGGCTCTGTGGACCTGGCCAGCAAGATCAATTGAGGATGATGATAAGTTTATGTAGTATTACATTAATGAAAAATTCATATTATAACAAAATCTGTGACCCATAACACCTTGAACAGACTCCGGCCTTGGGGAGAAAGACAAGGAAGCAAACGGAAGGAAATGCGAACATTGCAATCGCGATGTTTGCTCGAAGACGTCCTCTACCCAAGTGTCAAACCGATCATCAATTTCATCAGTTCCTGTGCTTGAAACTGTATCGGTAAAATTCAAGGCAGGAAGAGTACACGGGCGCTCCACTGATCTACCTCCCAACTCAAATGACTCTGCAGCATTCTTTTTCCTTTTGCATTTCTTGCGTGCTGGCTTCACAGGCCCAGCACTACCACTGAAGACCAGCGATGATCCCAGCACATGCTGGCACGGCCACTGGAAATTGGACATGTTGGTGATTCACTGACATCAATACATTGATTTGTTGTCCCACATAACTTTAAACCATACCTCTGGTCCAACTTGAGCAACAAATGGATTCAATGCTTGCCTGGCATATCAAGCACATTCCACAAACTAACAGGACA